TGTGTGCAGGGTGGTTCTATCGACAGGAATCCGAGCACTCTCACTCACTGTGTGTGTTTGCAGGGTGGTTCAATAGACAACAGGACACCCAGCACTCTCACTCACTGTGTGTGTGCAGGGTGGTTATAGAGACAGGACACCCAGCACACTCACTCACTGTGTGTGCGCGCAGGGTGCTTCTATAGACAACAGGACACCCAGCACACTCACTCACTGTGCGTGTGCAGGGTGGTTCTATACACAACAGGACACCCAGCACTCTCACTCACTGTGTGTGTGTGTGCAGGGTGGTTCTAGAAACATGACACCCAGCACTCTCACTCACTATGTGGGTGTGTGCAGGGTGGTTCTAGAGACAGGACACCCAGCACTCTCACTCACTGTGTGTGTGCAGGGTGGTTCTAGAGACACGACAACCCAGCACTCTCACTCATTGTGTGTGTGTGTGCAGGGTGCTTCTATAGACAACAGGACAACCAGCACTTGCCCCTACAGTCTGTTAAGGCTATATGGGGGATCTTTGTCTTTGTCTATAGACAGGACACCCAGCACTCTTACTCACGGTGTGTGTGTGCAGGGTGGTTCTATAGACAACAGGACACCAAGCACACTCACTGTGTGTGTGTGTGCAGGGTGGTTCTATAGACAACAGGACACCCAGCACTCTCAGTCACTGTGTGTGTGTGCAGGGTGGTTCTATAGACAGGACACCCAGCACACTCACTGTGTTTGTGTGCAGGGTGGTTCTATAGACAACAGGACACCCAGCACTCTCACTCACTGTTTGTGTGCAGGGTGGTTCTAGAGACAGGACACCAAGCACTCTCACTCACTGTGTGTGTGTGTGCAGGGTGGTTCCACAGACAGGACACCCAGCATTCTCACTCACTGTGTGTGTGTGTGTGGAGGGTGCTTCTATAGACAACAGGACACCCAGCACACTCACTCACTGTGTGTGTGCAGGGTGGTTCTAGAGACAGGACACCCAGCAGACTCACTCACTGTGGGTGTGTGCAGGGTGGTTCTAGAGACAGGACACCCAGCACAATTACTCACTGTGGGTGTGTGCTGGGTGGTTCTAGAGACAGGACACCCAGCACACTCACTCACTGTGGGTGTGTGCAGGGTGGTTCTAGAGACAGGACACCCAGCACTCTCACTCATTGTGTGTGTGTGCAGGGTGCTTCTATAGACAACAGGACACCCAGCACATTCACTCACTGTGTGTGTGCAGGGTGGTTCTATACACAACAGGACACCCAGCACTCTCACTCACTGTGTGTGTGTGTGCAGGGTGGTTGTATAGACAGGACACCCAGCACATTCACTCACTGTGTGTGTGCAGGGTGGTTCTATACACAACAGGACACCCAGCACTCTCACTCACTGTGTGTGTGTGTGTGCAGGGTTGTTCTATAGACAGGACACCCAGCACACTCACTCACTGTGGGTGTGTGCAGGGTGGTTCTAGAAACAGGACACCCAGCACTCTCACTCACTGTGTGTGTGTGCAGGGTGGTTCCACAGACAGGACACCCAGCACTCTCACTCACTGTGTGTGTGCAGGGTGGATCTATACACAACAGGACACCCAGCACTCTTACTCACTGTGTGTGTGTAGGGTGGTTCTATAGACAACAGGACACCCAGCACTCTCACTCACTGTGTGTGTGCAGGGTTGTTCTAGAGACAGGACACCCAGCACACTCACTCACTGTGGGTGTGTGCAGGGTGGTTCTAGATACAGGACTCCCTACACTTTCACTCACTGTGTGTGTGTGTGCAGGGTGGTTCAAGAGACACGACACCCAGCACTCTCACTCACTGTGTGTGTGTGTGCAGGATGGTTCTATAGACAACAGGACACCCAGCACTCTTACTCACTGTGTGTGTGCAGGGTGGTTCTAGAGACAGGACACCCAGCACACACACTCACTGTGGGTGTGTGCAGGGTGGTTCTAGAGACAGGACACCCAGCACACTCACTCACTGTGTGTGTGTGCAGGGTGGTTCTATAGACAGGACACCCAGCACTCTCACTCACTGTGTGTGTGTGCAGGGTGGTTTTATAGACGACAGGACACCCAGCACTCTCACTCACTGTGTGTGTGCAGGGTGGTTCTAGAGACAGGACACCCAACACACCCACTCACTGTGTTTGTGTGTGCAGGGTGGTTCTATCGACAGGACTCCCAGCACTCTCACTCACTGTGTGTGTGTGTTTGCAGGGTGGTTCTATAGACAACAGGACACCCAGCACTCTCACTCACTGTGTGTGTGCAGGGTGGTTCTAGAGACAGGACACCCAGCACACTCACTCACTGTGTGTGTGCAGGGTGGTTCTAGAGACATGACACCCAGCACTCTCACTCACTATGTGGGTGTGTGCAGGGTGGTTCTAGAGACAGGACACCCAGCACTCTCACTCACAGTGTGTGTGCACGGTGGTTCTAGAGACACGACACTCAGCACTCTCACTCATTGTGTGTGTGTGTGCAGGGTGCTTCTATAGACAACAGGACAACAAGCACACTCACTCACTGTGTGTGTGCAGGGTGGTTCTATACACAACAGGACACCCAGCACACTCACTGTGTGTGTGTGCAGGGTGGTTCTATAGACAACAGGACACCCAGCACTCTCACTCACTGCGTGTGTGTGTGCAGGGTGGTTCTATAGACAGGACACCCAGCACACTCACTGTGTGTGTGTGCAGGGTGCTTATAGAGACAGGACACCCAGCACACTCACTCACTGTGTGTGTGCAGGGTGCCTCTAGAGACAGGACACCCACCACACTCACTCACTGTGTGTGTGCAGGGTGCTTCTATAGACAACAGGACACCCAGCACTCTCACTCACTGTGTGTGTGTGCAGGGTGGTTCTAGAGACAGGACACCCAGCACACTCACTGTGTGTGTGCAGGGTGCTTCTATATACAACAGGACACCCAGCACTCTCACTCACTGTGTGTGCAGGGTGGTTCTAGAGACAGGACACCCAGCACACTCACTCACTGTGGGTGTGTGCAGGGTGGTTCTAGAGACACGACACCCAGCACACTCACTCACTGTGTGTGTGTAGGGTGGTTCTATAGACAGGACACCCAGCACACTCACTCACTGTGGGTGTGTGCAGGGTGGTTCTAGAGACAGGACACCCAGCACACTCACTCACTGTGGGTGTGTGCAGGGTGGTTCTAGAGACACGACACCCAGCACACTCACTCACTGTGTGTGTGTGTGCAGGGTGGTTCTAGAGACAGGACACCCAGCACTCTCACTCACTGTGTGTGTGCAGGGTGGTTTTAGAGACACGACACCCAGCACTCTCACTGTGTGTGTGCAGGGTGCTTCTATACACAAGACACCCAGCACACTCACTGTCTGTGTGTGTGCAGGGTGGTTTTAGAGACAGGACACCCAGCACTCTCACTCACTGTGTGTGTGCAGGGTGGTTCTAGAGACAGGACACCCAGCACTCTCACTCACTGTGTGTGTGTGCAGGGTGGTTCTAGAGACAGGACACCCAGCACTCTCACTCACTGTGTGTGTGTGCAGGGTGGTTCTAGAGACAGGACACCCAGCACTTTCACTCACTGTGTGTGTGCAGGGTGGTTCTATAGACAACAGGACACCCAGCACTCTCACTCACTGTGTGCAGGGTGGTTTTAGAGACACGACACCCAGCACTCTCACTGTGTGTGTGCAGGGTGCTTCTATACACAAGACACCCAGCACACTCACTTTCTGTGTGTGTGCAGGGTGGTTTTAGAGACAGGACACCCAGCACTCTCACTCACTGTGTGTGTGCAGGGTGGTTCTAGAGACAGGACACCCAGCACTCTCACTCACTGTGTGTGTGTGCCGGGTGGCTCTAGAGACAGGACACCCAGCACACTCACTCACTGTGTGTGTGTGTGCAGGGTGGTTCTAGAGACAGGACACCCAGCACACTCACTCACTGTGTGTGTGTGTGCAGGGTGGTTCTAGAGACAGGACACCCAGCACACTCACTCACTGTGTGTGTGCAGGGTGCTTCTAGAGACAGGACACCCAGCACACTCACTCACTGTGTGTGTGCAGGGTGCTTCTATAGACAACAGGACACCCAGCACTCTCACTCACTGTGTGTGTGTGCAGGGTGGTTCTAGAGACAGGACACCCAGCACTCTCACTGTGTGTGTGCAGGGTGGTTCTATAGAGAACAGGACACCCAGCACTCTCACTCACAGTGTGTGTGCAGAGTGGTTCTATAGGCATGACACCCAACACTCTCACTCACTGTGTGTGTGTGCAAGGTGCTTCTAGAGACAGGACACCCAGCACACTCACTTTGTGTGTGCAGGGTGCTTCTATAGACAACAGGACACCCAGCACTCTCACTCACTGTGTGTGCAGGGTGGTTCTAGAGACAGGACACCCAGCACACTCACTCACTGTGGGTGTGTGCAGGGTGGTTCTAGGGACACGACACCCAGCACTCTCACTCACTGTGTGTGTGTGCAGGGTGCTTCTAGAGACAACAGGACACCGTTGTCTGTAATCTTGTCACGGCTCGTGTGGAACAATAGCGTGCACCACCACAGTCCGTGGAACACGGTGCGTATACAGCTCACATACAGCTCGTATACAGCTCGAATACGGAGTAGCACGCAGCACGGCAGGGGCTGGTAGCGGCGTGCGTTGTTCGCCAGGAGAGTCTCAGCGAGTCTCGAGAGGGAGGGTCCTGCTGCTAACGCTGCCGCATCAAGCCTCCTGTCAACGACACGGTCCTTGTTGCCGGTTGTCGTTGTTGTCGAGTTAGTGGGAAGAAACGTGGGACCCGAGAGAGAACTCGCCCACGCACACAACGGGGTTCACTGCACGTTCCGCTCAGACGGGTTCACGCACACCACCACTCAGAATGCCACCATCATCACGCGGCCACCGCGAGGAGAGACCCCTTTAGTCCCGCATTAGACCCCAGGGTCCCCCTCGTCACTCCCAGGGTCCACTTACCCGCAGTGGCGAACCCTCGCGCACGCTGGGGCAGCAGCAGCAGCAGGAAAAAGGAGACAGTGGACCTCACCACGGGTCCCGTCCGCGACTCTCGGGGTCCCATTCCGCGTCGAAGGGGTGCGGGACCCCCCCTCACCCTCTTAGCCGACGATCACCACAGGGGATCATCACAGGGGATCATCACATGGGATCAACACTGGGGCTCGTCAGAGGCCCCCCGGGTCGCGGCGACACAGAGAGACGAGATGCGCCCTGCCCCGGGGCCCCGTGTCAAGTGGCAGGGGTCTGGGGTGAGCGCGGGAGGGGAGCCCCCCCCCGGCTCCGTGACGCGGCAAGACCGCAGGGGCTCGACATCACCCCCCCTCTCTCTCCACCCCATCCCCTAACCCCACCCCATCCCCTAACCCCATCCCGCTCTCCGTTATCCCCAGTAACCCACCTCTCCCCGGTGCGTTCCACGTGGACTGTGCACACGTAGAACACACACACACGTAGAACACACACACACGTAGAACACACACCCACGTAGAACACACACACACACGTAGAACACACACACACGTAGAACACACACACGTAGAACACACACACACGTAGAACACACACACACGTAGAACACACACCCACGTAGAACACACACACACGTAGAACACACACACACACGTAGAACACACACACGTAGAACACACACACGTAGAACACACACACACGTAGAACACAAACATGTAGAACACACACACGTAGAACACACACACGTAGAACACACACACGTAGAACACACACACACGTAGAACACACACACACGTAGAACACACACACACACGTAGAACACACACACACGTAGAACACACACACGTAGAACACACACGTAGAACACACACACACACATAGAACACACACACACGTAGAACACACACGTAGAACACACACACGTAGAACACACACACACGTAGAACACACACACACGTAAAACACACACACGTAGAACACACACACACGTAGAACACACACACACGTAGAACACACACACACGTAGAACACACACACACACACACGTAGAACACACACACGTAGAACACGCGTGTGATGTCCACACAGACGTGGAAACACGTGTGCCGTCTACACAGACATGGAATACACGTATTCTGTATACACAGACGTGGAACACGCATATGATGTCCACACAGACGTGGAACACGTGTGTGCTGTATTTACAGACGTAGAACACGCGTGTGATATACACACAGACGTGAAACACGCTTGTGCTATATATACACAGACGTGGAACACGCGTGTTGTCTACACAGATGTGGAACACGCGTGTTGTCTATACAGACGTGGAACACGCATGTTGTCTACACAGACGTGGAACACGCGTGTGCTGTATACACAGACGTGGAACACGCATGTTGTCTACACAGACGTGGAACACACATGTGCTGTATACACAGACGTGGAACACGCGTGTTCTGTATACACAGATGTGGAACACGCGTGTGCTGTATACACAGACGTGGAACACGCATGTTGTCTACACAGACGTGGAACACACATGTGCTGTATACACAGACGTGGAACACGCATGTTGTCTACACAGACGTGGAACACGCGTGTGCTGTATACACAGACGTGGAACACGCATGTTGTCTACACAGACGTGGAACACACATGTGCTGTATACACAGACGTGGAACACGCGTGTTCTGTATACACAGATGTGGAACACGCGTGATGTCTACACAGACATATACCACACGTGCTCTCTACACACAGACGTGGAACACGCGTGATGTCTACAGACGTGGAACACGCGTGATGTCTACAGACGTGAAACACGTGTGTTGTCTACACAGACGTGGAACACGCGTGATGTCTACAGACGTGGAACACGCGTGATGTCTACAGACGTGGAACACGCGTGATGTCTTCGCAGGTGTAATGGTTCGATAGAGGCGCTTACACTCGTGTGGAGGCAACACTATTTATTGAACACACATGCAACACACCTGCAGCACACCTCCAAACACACCTGCAACACACCTGCAGCACACCTGCAACACACCTGCAGCACACCTGCAGCACACCTGCAGCACACCCTACACATGAGGTGGTGGCCACCGTCCTACTCTCGCTAACACTCGGGTACTACTTGGTGTGGCCAAGCCAGGAGGGCTTCTGCTTGGCCGCGATGACTGGAGGCTTCTTTCTTCAGAGTCTTAATGAGACGTCTTCATCCCAGGCACCAACATCCCAGCTCTCTCCGCTGAGCCCGCGTGGCCGGCCACACCCTGGCCACGCCCCCCTTCTCGAATCCCCGAGAAGGCTCCACTCCCCGACCATGTGACCCCAGGGTCCCTCAGGGCCCCTGGCCCCCTCCTGGATCCGGTTACGTGCCTAGCCGGGGTCACTCGGAGTGCCACGGCCTGACACAACCTCCATGGTACCCATCAACAGCCTCCATACCAAACAGGCAGTGACGTCACGCGTACAGACCCAACATAGCAGTGACGTCATGTGTGTACAGACCCGATACAGTAGTGACATCATATGTCACTACATTACCCCCCCCCCCCCCCCCCCCATGTAACATACAGCCATCCCGGTTGTGACCATATAAAGAACAAAACGTGTGCCTCCCAACAAATCAGAACGGCAATAAATAACCGGCGAACGACAATAAATTACGCTACTAACATACAGTGAGGGAAACAAGCATTTGATGCCCTGCTGATTTTGTACTTTGCCCACTGAAAAAGAAATTATCAGTCTTTAATTTTAATGGTAGGTTTATTTGAACAGTGAGAGACAGAATAACAACAAAATATCCAGAAAAACGCATGACAAAAATGTAAAAAATTGATTTGCATTTTGACGAGGGAAATAAGTATTTGACCCCTCTGCAAAACATGACTTAGTACTTCGTGGCAAAACCCTTGTTGGCAATCACAGAGGTCAGACGTTTCTTGTAGTTGGCCACCAGGTTTGCACACATCTCAGGAGGGATTTTGTCCCACTCCACTTTGCAGATCTTCTCCAAGTCATTAAGGTTTCGAGGCTGACGTTTGGCAACTCGAACCTTTAGCTCCCTCCATAGATTTTCTATGGGATTAAGGTCTGGAGACTAGCTAGGCCACTCCATGACCCTAATGTGCTTCTTCTTGAGGCACTCCTTTGTTGCCTTGGCCGTGTGTTTTGGGTCATTGTCATGCTGGAATACCCATCCACGACCCATTTTCAATGACCTGGCAGAGGGAAGAAGGTTCTCACCCAAGATTTGACGGTACATGGCCCCGTCCATCGTCCCTTTGATGCGGTGAAGTTGTCCTGTCCCCTTAGCAGAAAAACACCCCCAAAGCATAATGTTTCCACCTCCATGTGTGACGGTGGGGATGGTGTTCTTGGGGTCATAGGCAGCATTCCTCCTCCTCCAAACATGGCGAGTTGAGTTGATGTCAAAAAGCTCCATTTTGGTCTCATCTGACTACAACACTTTCACCCAGTTGTCCTCTGAATCATTCAGATGTTCATTGGCAAACTTCAGACGGGCATGTATATGTGCTTTCTTGAGCAGGGGGACCTTGTGGGCGCTGCAGGATTTCAGTCCTTCACGGCGTAGTGTGTTACCAATTGTTTTCTTGGTAACTATGGTCCCAGCTGCCTTGAGATCATTTACAAGATCCTCCCGTGTAGTTCTGGGCTGATTCCTCACCGTTCTCATGATCATTGAAACTCCACGAGGTGAGATTTTGCATGGAGCCCCAGGCCGAGGGAGATTGACAGTTCTTTTGTGTTTCTTCCATTTGCGAATAATCACACCAATTGTTGTCACCTTCTCACCAAGCTGCTTGGCAATGGTCTTGTAGCCCATTCCAGCCTTGTGTAGGTCTACAATCTTGTCCCTGACATCCTTGGAGAGCTCTTTGGTCTTGGCCATGGTGGAAAGTTTGGAATCTGATTGATTGATTGCTTCTGTGGACAGGTGTCTTTTATACAGGTAACAAGCTGAGATTAGGAGCACTCCCTTTAAGAGTGTGCTCCTAATCTCAGCTTGTAACCTGTATAAAAGACACCTGGGAGCCAGAAAATCTTTCTGATTGAGAGGGGGTCAAATACTTATTTCCCTCATTAAAATGCAAATCAATTTATAACATTTTGACATGCGTTTTTTCTGGATTTTGTTCTTGTTATTCTGTCTCTCACTGTTCAATAAACCTACCATTAAAATTATAGACTGATCATTTCTTTGTCAGTGAGCAAACGTACAAAATCAGCAGGGGATCAATACTTTTTTCCCTCACTGTATGTACACATCAGAGAGAGAGAAAGAAAAAAACACGACAAAAACAATAAGATGGTGGAATAACAACACAACAAGCATGCATGAAGCAGTCAGCTCATAGGACCCCCTCCATCTCCGGTGCACCCCTGTAAAATCATGCACTCACTGAACAATAAAAAACTGGAGTGACAACATACAACGCGTGAAAGAGTCATTTAAAGCGCGCGGTTTTTGAACGGGTCCATGTGGCTGGACCCCCAGGCGAGGTGGGCCGAAGCTCCCTGGAAGGTCTGGGGAAATGTCAGCGCTGGCGGGCGAGTGCGGCCGCTCAGTTATGGGCGGCAGCGTCGACGGGGGGCGGTCGGTTGCTATGGGAGCAGCAGCCGGTAGTGCCAGGAGTTTCACGAGCTCCGATCCTGTGGGCGGTACCACAGAACCACTCTGAGGAACCACCTTTACAGGCGCGCCCCCGAGTTCGGCCCACGGAATTTTGAGATGAGGGGTCGTGATGGGGATGAACAAACAGCTTAAGTCACAACCTGGGACAGTACAGCACCGATTCCCGTGTTGCTAGCATCGGTGTCCAAAATGAATGGCAAGGAAAAGTCTAGATATCGGAGGGGAGGGACGCCCACCAATCCATCGCGAAGGGCAACGATGGCGGCCTCCTCCTCCGCTCCCCACCGAAATTTCTGTTCCTTTGTCGTCAGGGCATGGAGGGGCTTAGCAACGGTGGTGAACCCGGGCACAAAGCGACGATAATTGTAGGCAAAACCGATAAAACTGTGGACCTCACCCACCGAGGGGTAGGATACGTGCGCACGTACGCAGTTTTATCGGGATCAGTTGAAATACCAGATTCGCTAACTATGTGTCCAAGATACCATACGGACGTTTGCAACATATGGCACTTCTATGGTTTAAACTTATGATTAGTCTGTCTCATCTTAAGGAAAACAGCGCATAGCCAGGTCAGGTGCTCATCAAACGTGTGACTAAACATGATAACGTCGTCCAAATATATCAGGCAGGAGTCCCATTGGAGTTCTGCGAGGACTAGCTCTATTAATCTCTGGAAAG